CAGGAATGAAAAAACAAAGAAAATATTAAGGGGATAAAAAGGGAATGATAATTTTCAATCCAAAAAAATGCTGATCAAAAATGAAAAAAATGAAAAAACAACAAAAAAAAAAACATGATTTCCAGTCCCTGGCTGGCTGAGATGAACATAGGCCAAGGCCTCCTGCACATCAAGATTCTATTGAAGAATGTACAAAGTGCAAAAGTGGTAAGACAATTGCTTTAGTTTCAGGACACCGGTGGCAAAATTGTTCTGGTCTCCATCTTTGCTACTGCAATGCAGAGTCTGTGTCTCCGTCCTGCTGGCAGCGGCGAAGTTCGAGCAGCTTTAAAACCGGCGAAAGCGTTGCGCAAACTTTCCGCTTTGGCTGGCTCCAGCTGGGGCGTATTGTATGGAGCTGGTCAGAAGCAAATGCAACGTTGTGCCATTCACCAAGTGATTAGCAGTCCAGAGTGCAAGCTCGAGCCAAGAATACCGTCCTCAAGACTGAACTCTTCAGAGTGACAAGATTGTTTTAAGCAAGTGAAAGGTGGGTCCTTGTTGTCTTTCGACAAATGCACTTCAGGCCTCGAACGGTGCAAGATCATCACGGTGTTTGCATGAAGGGCCAGCCGATGCATACCACTGTTCAGCAGACTGAGGAGATTGTTTTGCGCAAGTAAAGGATCGGCCAATGTCAGCTTTCAGCAAACGAGCCTTGCATTGGGAAGAATCCACTGGACTTGACTTGTTTACGTAAAGGACCTGCCAATGCAAAAGGACGTGTGGCAACGGATCCAAAAGAGATTGCAGGGCTCTTGTGTCAAGTGCCAAAAGGGTCAGCCAGGTTTTGGATACGACTGGAAAGATGTAAGGTGCCGCTAGAACTCAAAAGCTTGGGTTCAGGGCTGGAGTCCCAGGATCCGCAGGAAAGCACAAGGCTCGCATCGCTAAGCAAGTTCTTGGTTTGTCCTTGCTAGCGCGACGCAGATTCCTGTGTGGTTCCAGAACACGATAAGAGTCACAGTTTCGCAGACATGATCGCAAGAGTTTTCAAACGAACGGTGAGGCACGTATCAAGTTCCCCGATGTGATGTTGACATGCAAACGATGGCAGCCCAACTTTGTTCTTGATGTGACATGTTCCTCAAAATGCAGCGAGTGGGAATTTGTCGGACCGCTTTGCACCTGTGTGCAGCCTCGGACCTTTGCAGTTGAAACTCCAGAACTACATGACTCGTTACATGACCATTTTATCACCTGTAGACCAGGTAACCTTCCTGCTTTCCTTGGCTTTCTCAGAGTGTGTGGCACGGTCCTGGAGGTTTGGCAGCAACAGGTATCGCAAGTGTCAGGACGGGCAAAGTTTGGACCTCTGTAGCCACAACTCGTTGTTAAATATCCTGTTTGCGAAGTGAACAAAGACAGCTAACTCTAATCTAAGGAACCCCGAGAAATGCAAAAGTGAGCTTGGTCATAGTTCGTGGTCAAGCAAAACAGCTCCTGCACAGCAGATCCTGGCAAAGTCAAGAAGATAATTCTGTCCTCAAACAAGCCTTGCCACCGCAAAGAAACATTTCTGCAGGGACAAAATTTAGCCGCCTGTTCGAGGCAGAGAAAGTGTGTGTTTGCTTTGGTCAAATGCCGATTCAGAACATTTGCATGAAAATGGAGTGAGTAATTTGTTCCTAATTTGCCATTCAAGAAAGCCGGAGACATCAGGAGACCAGTTTGCTTTTCCCTGAACCACAGTTAAGTGGTGCACTCTGCCGGATGATAGTGGTCAAACATGGTCAAACAATGATGGGTGGTCGACCACATGCTCTGAGACTGGCAGAAATTCAACCAGATCTCACACGAAACCAGAGCAGGTCTCGCCGATTGAGACTAGGACGACTCAAGGTGGTTGCAAATTCCGTGCCCTGCCGTGGAGGGCTTTGCAGATGCTTGGATCATTTTGGCGCCAAACTTGAGAGAGTGCAAATGAGGAGCTTGTAGAGCCTGGGACTTTTAGACGGAAACATTTTCCGAGACTTCATTTCCGCAGGGCTGCTGTTTCACTATTGGAAATAATGAGCTTGCCTTCTGAAGTTTGAAGATCGGCTGGGATGAGTTCGTGATAGATTTGGATGCAGCCTGAATGACCCACTGAAGCTATTTGTTGGACTTGCAGATGCTGAACCCTGCGTGCTGATCCCGGTATCTTGGTACCAGGCAAGAATTTTGAGCAGAATGAACAGACTCGAAGCACGGCTGGCGCAAGACTTGTTGACATCACTCGCATGCCACTTTCACGTTGTTCTCGATGTGGAAACTTCTCCAACCGCTTCTGAGAAGGGCACGACGACGAGAACGGTGCTACGCTGCTAGGTGAGCCGTGTTCCAAGCCGGGGTAGCCCTCGCAGGGTGCTGCATTCTTTCGGGATCACATGCAAGGAAGATCTCGACAAGATTCGCTCAATCAGTCTCGGGCAAGCTGCAAAAAAAAATAAAATCTTCTGTGCGCAGGCTCGCCGAAGCCTTCCACTTTGGTCCACTACCACTCATGTCATGTCACTCTTCCTTCTTTGGTTTCGATAGAACTGCATTTGATAGAACCAGCGCTGAGTGGCACAAAGCTAATCAGTAGATCAGCAAAAACAGCCTGGATATGCTGGATGGATTACAGCATGTTTTGCTATGCTTCAGTTCTCAGCCTTCATTGCTCACAAGAGTCACAAGCGTCGCAAGCATCCTTTTGACTCATATTGTCAATTCAAAAAAAGCTGCTGCCAATTGCCTTCCAGCCCAGGGACACTGCAGTTCGGTCAGGGATCCGGCAAGCTGTTAGCATGGGCAGGATAGGCGACTCTATAAACGACCTGAGTTGATTTCGTTGGGCACTGGGAGTCCAAGAAAGGATTGTGTACAGGTGACTTTGAATTTAGCAGTTGAGAAGAAAGGGGGCTGATCAATCAAAGGCTTTTTGCTGGCCATTCATCATGAACTGAATTGGAGGAGCAGAGCAGCCTTGCAGGCATTGCTCCCTGAGCGTTCCCAGAAATGGTGCGGCCGCTGACTCATATTGTCAATTCAAAAAAAGCTCAGCCCAGGGACACTGCAGTTCGGTGAGGGATCCGGCAAGCTGTTAGAATGGGTAGGATAGGCTGTAGCCAGTACTGCCAGCACCCTCGAACCAGGAAAACAGGACTGCTCCATGCGATGAGTCAGCGAAGCGCCAGAATCGCCAAAATGCAAAGCGCCAGATCGTCTCTCCTTCATGCCACCACTGGGTCTTCCTAGCACTGGAGAAAAGCTTGTGCGAAAAGCCAATCCTCCTTGCACTGACAGTGAAATCTTGCTGTCAATTCCCAATTCTGGTGTATGTATCCTCCCTTGACGGAGACTGTCACATATCCTTTGGAAGGAACAAGGATATGCATGCAAACCTTTCACAACACAATGTCCCCTTGGTTTGCAAGCGCATCCTCTTCCGGACAGGTTCCTTGACTGCCACAGTGAAGTGTTGTGGGCTGAGGCCAGCCTGAAGATAAACGTTCCTAGCAAGATTCAACAGCATTTCCAACCAGAAGTATAAGAGCCAGCTAGTCTTGCTGCCTCCATTTGCTTGCTTCACTTTTGGACAAGATATGGTGCAAGGGACAAGATCTGCATTGCCTTGAAAGTGTCCGCCAAAACATGCCAAAACATTCAGTAGTAAGACTGTCGTTTGCCAGTTGTTGTTGTTGTTGTTGTAGTTGTTGTAAGCGGAACGACAGTTGATCACAATGGCTTGTGAGGATAGGGCTCTTTCGCATAGTGGATGCAAAGAAACTTTGCTGGGCTGAAGACTGTTTGCGATATTTGATGTTCCTGCATTCTAGAATATTCTAGATTAGCAATGACCAACAAGATCAACAAGAACGCAGAGTCTAGGAGGAAATATTCTTCATGGCCCAAAAACATCCAAAACACAAAGAAGCTCATCGAGCCAAGCCGATGAATTCAATCCAAACAGCTTTGCAGCTTTCAAGGCATCATGATTTGGGGGACGCCTTCGGAGCAACAACTGGCACTCTGACTCCAAAGACCATTTTGCTGTCCGGAGCAAGCCAAGAATTGGTCTTGGCTCCCATGAAGGATCGCTTGCGGTTTGCATGACTTTGAAAAACAGGCGCATGTGCAGCATTCTTCACTTGGCAATTAAACGAGCACAACAATAAGAAACCCTAAGCAACGATAAGCCAGCTTTAAGTGCCAGCAATTCCAGTCCTAATTTCGTGCCGATGCCGAGGATACTGAGGTCACCAGATGTTTCAGACATCAAGTTGGGCTCCCGTTCCGCGATGTTCCGCGGCAATTGTGACCAAAACGCAAGAGATCTGTGGGCCAATTCTGAAGTCAAAGCCTTGGGTTGAAATATTGGCAATAAAGTGCATGGCACGTCCACTACCACCAAATTACAACGCTTGTTGAAGCTCTCAAACAAGTGACCGTGTGCGTTTTGCCGTTATCAAACGATGCACTTGCATGCACTTTCCGTTTTAGTCAGTTGACAAACATTTCGCACATGACGGAAGATTCACGATAATGCCAGGGGTGACCAATTCAAAAAAGGCATGAAGAAATCAAGTGCAATGCTGCTTGCACATTTAGTGTTTGGCAAGAGTTTTGCATCCAACTCTGTTGGGTTTGGTGCGTTCAGGTCACAGTCTTATTGTGTTCCCACATTTGTCGAAACTCACCCTGTAAAACCCTGCAAGCAAAGAATGTTTTGGCTGCAATGTCCCGTGTTGGGTAGCTGTTGTCAGCTGCAAATGGTGATGCACATCTAGCTATTGCCACATCTATAAAAAAGTCATGTTGAGACATGGTGGATTCCCAGCGTCAGGTTGAGAGTCAGCCAGTGAAGCTCGAAAAGAGTGGCGAAACCTGAGACTTTGTGGCAAGTGCCAGATATGGACTGGACGTAAGCCTCGCAGCCGGAGAACTGCCCTTGTTGGCCCCCATTCAAACTGGTTCAAACTGCCTGATTTAGCAGCTCCAAGGGAAGCGCTCAAAAGCGTAGCTGCATCCCAATCGCCGAAACTCTGCAATCTGTGCAAGTGGATCAAGTGGCAAGCACTTCTTGTTCTCAGTGGCACTGACATTGTGCGCTGGACTCGGCAGGAACTCGTTGAGATGGGCGGCTCCAAGTGGCTTGCGGCCACCATGCTGAGCAGATCCCTCTGGCAGCTCGCTAGGCTGCGACCGACCAAGGAGTCCAAGGTAGTCCAAGGTCTCATTGCTTCGCATCGCCTCAAAGGCTGCCTTTACCTCGATGAATCCCATGGGTCCGCCATCCGCTAGAGGTGCTGCTTGAAACCTATCACATGCAGCAGATGATACTGGTACATGGATGATATGAATGATGAGAATATTGTTGCCTCTGAACCTCCCATGCTTGTCGACTCGACATCGCAGCGGTCCGCGTCGCATGACAGCTGATAGCGGTACATGGAAAGCATGCCATGTTTTGCTTTCTCTGTGCTCAAGTTTGGCAATAGCAAGTTACAAAGTTGATACTTGCAGGGAGCCTGGAGCACTTCTCGATTCAAAGCTTCGTTGTGAGGTTCCAGCTTGATGTTCACAACCTTGCCAACAGCCTTGCGGGTAGGCCAGGTATGCCATAGAACTCAAAGTTCCCCTTCACCGGCCTTACCCCATGAGGCCTTCGCACCCTTTCTGCAGTTTAACCCTATTTGGTATCCATCCGGGCTTTCCATGCTGCTGAGTGCCACTGGCGGTGGATGTGAATAATCAAGGCAAAGATGTTGGCCTTGCATCAACCTCATCAGCTCTGCAAAAACTGCATGGAACTCCATTCCTCGATACTGACAGCTAATTGAAAATACAGGTTAAAAGCATGTGTTCAAGTCATGGAGTCGTGATCGATTTTGGCATATATAATTGTTCCATCGTCAAGTGATGTCAAGTCATTGTACTCACTATGTAAATTTTTATCGAAGCAGTGAAGATTTGAAGCTACGCCTTCGATCCAAACACTTGCCGCACACGCGTGCTGTCGCTAGAGAACTCCCTTTTTGCCAATTTATAGAGGTAGCTCTAGTGGATTTGCAGTCATAAGAGCCTGGGACTTGTGACGATAGGCGCGGATTGAACTGAATCCTGTATTCAATGCAAGGCGAAGAAGGGGCAAGTTGAGCTCTTGTTGAGGTCACAATACATTTCCAAGTGCCCAAAGTATAAACTCCCAAGATAGTAGGTGTCATGAGTCAAATCTCCACCCGGCACGAGCAGTTCATGGAGTTCATGGAGATGGGTGGATGGCAATGATGGCCACCAGGGCGCGGCAGTTTGCTTAAGTAATGACCAGAATTTGCTATCAGAATTATCCGAGTCCTTGTAGGATTCTTTTTTGGTGTCACCGAAGCCTGCGATGTTGGTTGTCGCCTCTACACAGCAAATGTTCTCTCCGCACAATATGTTTTCTTGGATTGGCGCGGTAGAATATGTCAACAGTTTTCTAGAGTTGTGAATCCGAGCAGCTCTCCGAGTAAAGTGCATACGGAGTGCATAATTTCCCATCAGATTCCTTCCAATATTCCCTTGTGCTATTGGCTGTGACAATGGTTTTTTTGAAAGCAAGGCCCTAACTGGACAACTGTTTTGTCAGTACTTGACGTCACTGTAACTATAGCCTGTGATGTGGTTGCCTCTACACCGGAGATCTTGTCTCCCAGCAATACTTCATGGATTCGTGCTTTATTTGCTCACAGAGAAACTGCTTGATGTGCAAAAAGATAAAGAGGCAGCTGTGCTCTTCCCAGCACCAAGTTCAAGCTGGCGTCTCTTGCGACTGTCGCAACACATCATGGCAATGCACCGGCCGGTTTCGCTTGGCTCATCCTGAGCCTGAGCTTTCCCATGGTCTGAAACCTTGGGAGTGGGAAAGGGCTGAAGGTGGACTCGATCGATTGCTTTCAGATTGATGTTGCCGTTGCTCAACGTTTGTGGAGTTTCATCCCCACAGACCCAGGCTCAAGCTTAACTCTCCCAGCAAAAGACCCAGTGCAGCCATCATTCCTGTGACACTATGCTCACAATGATCAGGGGCTCGATCAGGGAGATCACCCATGTTCCATGGCAAGGCCGCTGCTTGCTTTCTCCACAAAAGCAGCCAGCCAGCCAAGGCATCACAACAAACAGCTACTTCAGAGCACCAAATAGATTCTGGGGCAGTATGAAACATGAACAAAGGAAGCGATATGATATTCAACGAAGCAAGGAATGTTCTCCAGTGTCAGTAGGCCATGATTTACTATGTCACTCTGTTCCTCAAGCCGGTTGGCCTTTAGACCCTCGGCAATGAAAGACCTTATCCCACGGTAGCAAGAAATTAGGACGCAACCAATCAAAGTGGGGCTCTAATTTTGCCAAACTGTAGGGATATAGTCATTATCGCGTGTAAAGAGCAGAAACATGGAGAAGAATTGTCCAAAATGGCCTGAGATCATCGATCTGCCCCAGCTTCTGAAGGGCTCATAAGGTCCGGCCTTAGACCCCCCAATCACTTTGAGTCTGGCAGCACTCAGCTTGCCACAGAGTCTTGTGTGTTGCGTCCCCAGCAGAAAATCTGAAAAGATGCTGTGTTTGAGTCTGACCAGCTTCACAGCGAAAGCAGGTAGCAACGCACTGGCCCTGATCGAACGCTTGGAGGGCCTTGCACACTGACCAAAGGAGGGAAAATGATGGAGAAGAGAGATGGGGATCTATGTGCAGAGGCACAGAGCCTTGCGAAGCCCCAGGCGTAGGCATCACAATTCCACCCGTGAACTTTTGGAAAAAGCTCTTTGCGTAGTCTCTGTAACAGGTGATTGCATATGGGCTAAGCCGTACGCGACAGCAATTCCAGGTGCAAATAGAACAAGCCAAGCAATAGCTGGGCTGATTGGCATTAACAGCCACGCCGTATTCAGACGATTAGCCTTCCACCTTGATCAAAGGAAGGACAACGATGGAGACAGGACAGGCGGATCTATGTGCACAAAACTTCCCATGTTTGGTCCTTGCTGTCTTGGAGTGTTTGATAGACCATGGTTGATTGCTACCCGATAGTGCAGGTGGCATCAACCGATGCGATTGCTGGGGAAAATCAAGTCGCATCTCTCAATGCTGTCTCCTAAGCTCAAGACGCAAAGCGCAGCCAAGGACCCCTTTCTAAGCAGAAGCAATGCATAGGCGTGGCGAAGGAAAATAAAGCAACGCTGACTTATCCTTAATCAGATTGGCAGCCTCAGCACCCCGCCAACGTCACGATTTTCTTGCTCTCTCTCATAAGGTTTCCTTTGGAGCTGACTCTGGATGATCCATAGACATGGTGGAGAGCCAAAGATCTTTCGGGCATCAAGTTGGGCTCCCGTTCAGCGACAATTGTGACTGCAAGAGATCTGCCAATTCTGAAGTGAAAGCTTTCCCTTGAGATGTTGGCAATGAAGTTCCCGGCACGCCCAGAGAGGCTCAACCAGCACAGGCACTACCACCAAAGTACAACACTTATTGAAGCTCTCAAACAAGTGACCGTCTGCGTTTTGCCGTTATCAAACGATGCACTTGCATGCACTTTCCAGTCAGTTGACAAATATTTCGCACATGACGGAAGATTCACGATAATGCCAGGGGTGACCAATTCAAAAAAGGCATGAAGAAATCAAGCGCAATGCTACTTGCACATCTAGTGTTTGGCAAGAGTTTTGCATCCAACTCTGTTGGGTTTGGTGCGTTCAGGTCACAGTCTTATTGTGTTCCCACATTTGTCGAAACTCACCCTGTAAAACCCTGCAAGCAAAGAAGGTTTTGGCTGCAATGTCCCGTGTTGGGTAGCTGTTGTCAGCTGCAAATGGTGATGCACATCTAGCTATTGCCACATCTATAATAAAGTCATGTTGAGACATGGTGGATTCCCAGCGTCAGGTTGAGAGTCAGCCAGTGAAGCTCGAAAAGAGTGGCGAAACCTGAGACTTTGTGGCAAGTGCCAGATATGGACTGGACGTAAGCCTCGCAGCCGGAGAACTGCCCTTGTTGGCCCCCATTCAAACTGGTTCAAACTGCCTGATTTAGCAGCTCCAAGGGAAGCGCTCAAAAGCGTAGCTGCATCCCAATCGCCGAAACTCTGCAATCTGTGCAAGTGGATCAAGTGGCAAGCACTTCTTGTTCTCAGTGGCACTGACATTGTGCGCTGGACTCGGCAGGAACTCATTGAGATGGGCGGCTCCAAGTGGCTTGCGGCCGCCATGCTGAGCAGATCCCTCTGGCAGCTCGCTAGGCTGCGACCGACCAAGGAGTCCAAGGTAGTCCAAGGTCTCATTGCTTCGCATCGCCTCAAAGGCTGCCTTTACCTCGATGAATCCCATGGGTCCGCCATCCGCTAGAGGTGCTGCTTGAAACCTATCACATGCAGCAGATGATAGATCCATATATTATACAGAAACAAAACCAAGTTTGGGATAATTAGGTTTGATTTCACTAGCCATTATATAATCTGGATTTCGCAAATGAATCTGTACTACTTCCGCAACTCTGATCCACACCGGCCATCCAAACATCAAGGGATATGATCCAGGCCTCACCATTTGTGCCGACGTGGAGGGTAATGAGCAAAATGGCATCCTTGCCGCAAGATTGCAAGCTGCTCTTTCATAACGAAACACAGAGATTTCCCTTCCAAAAGGATGGCAATTTGGGTTTCTCTTGCCGTTAATCACATCCACTGGTACATGGATGATATGAATAATGAGAATATTGTTGCTGGAATTGCCTCTGAACCTCCCATGCTTGTCGACTCGACATCGCAGCTGTCCGCGTCGCATGACAGCTGATAGCGGTACATGGAAAGCATGCCATGTTTTGCTTTCTCTGTGCTCAAGTTTGGCAATAGCAAGTTACAAAGTTGATACTTGCAGGGAGCCTGGAGCACTTCTCGATTCAAAGCTTCGTTGTGAGGTTCCAGCTTGATGTTCACAACCTTGCCAACAGCCTTGCGGGTAGGCCAGGTATGCCATAGAACTCAAAGTTCCCCTTCACCGGCCTTACCTCATGAGGCCTTCGCACCCTTTCTGCAGTTTAACCCTATTTGGTATCCATCCGGGCTTTCCATGCTGCTGAGTGCCACTGGCGGTGGATGTGAATAATCAAGGCAAAGATGTTGGCCTTGCATCAACCTCATCAGCTCTGCAAAAACTGCATGGAACTCCATTCCTCGATACTGACAGCTAATTGAAAATACAGGTTAAAAGCAGGGAGCCTGGAGCACTTCCCGATTCAAAGCTTCGTTGTGAGGTTCCAGCTTGATGCTCACAACCCTGCCAACAGCCTTGCGGGTAGGCCAGGTATGCCATAGAACTCAAAGTTCCCCTTCACCGGCCTTACCCCATGAGGCCTTCGCACCCTTTCTGCAGTTTAACCCTATTTGGTATCCATCCGGGCTTTCCATGCTGCT